TTTGTAGTACAGTTTCAAGTTGGGGATTGTGATACCCCCAGCCATGTCTCTGTTGCCTAGAATTGCTTTTGCTATTCTAGGTTTCTTCTGCTTTCAAATTAATTTTTGGATTGTTTCTCTAGGTCTGTGAAGTATATTGTCGGAATTTCAATCAGTATTGCATTAAATCTATATAGCAGTTTTGGAAGTATGGCCATTTTCACTATATTGATTCTTCTTACCCAGGAACAAGGGATATCTTTCCATTTTCTTGTAGCCTCTTCAATCTCCTTTTTCAGGGTGCTGTAGCTTTCAGCTTAGAGATCTTTTGCTTCCTTTGTTAGGTTGATTCCTAGGTATTTCATTTTTTTAGATGCTATTGTAAAAGGAATTATTTCCCAAATTTCTCTCTCAATGGGTCTGCTATTTGCATATAAGGCTATTGTTTTTTGAGTGTTGACCTTGTATCCAGCTACTCTACTGAATCTGTCAATTAGGTCTAGAAGACTTTTGACCAAGTTTTTTGGGTCTTCTATGTAAAGTATCATATCATTAGCAAATAATGACAGTTTCACTTCTTCCTTTCCTTTGTTTATTCCATTTATTTCTTTCTCTTGCCTAATTGCTTAGGCTAATGTTTCCAGAACAATATTGAACACGAGTGGTGAAAGTGGGCATCCTTGTCTTGTTCCTGATTTTAGCATGAAAGTTTTCAGTTTCTGACCATTTAGTATGATGTTGGCTGTTGGTTTTTCATACATAGCCTTAATCAGGTTGAGATAAAGACCTTCTATTGCAATTTTTGTAGCATTTTTATCATTAATGGGTGCTGGATTTGTCAAATGCCTTTTCTGCATCTATTGAGATGATCATATGGTTTTTGTCCTTGACTCTGTTATTATGGTGTATTACATTTATTGATTTATGAATGTTGAACCATCCTTCCATCCCTGGGATAAATCCGACTTGGTCAGGTGTATGATCTTCTTGATGACCCTCTGTATTCTGTTTGCCAGTGTCTTGTTGAGGATTTTTGCATCTATGTTCATTAGGGAGATTGGTCTTTAGTTCTCTTTTTGGGTTGAGTCTTTCCCTGGTTTTGGAATCAAAGTCACACTTGCTTCCAGGAATGAATTTTGAAGCCTTCCTTCCCTTTCAATTTCCTTGATGAGTTTAAAGAGTAATGGTGACAATTCCTCTTTAAACGTCTTGTAGAATTCAGCAGTGAAGCCATGAGGACCTGGGCTTCTCTTTGCTGGTAAATTTTTTATTACATTTTTGATTTCACTCATTGTTATTGGGGTGTTTAGAATTTCTGTATCTTCTTCATTTAACTTTGGCAATTCGTATGTATCTAGGAATCTGTCCATTTCTTCTGTGTTTTCCATTTTAATAGAGTACAGGTTCTCAATGTAGGTATTGATGATCCTCTGAATTTCTGCTGGATCTGTTGTGGCTTCACCTTTTACATTCTTAATTGCATGGATTTGAGCCTTTTCTTTCCTTGTTTTGATAAGGTTGGCTAAAGGTTTATCTATTTTATTTATTCTTTCAAAAAAACAGCTCTTCAATTCATTGATTTCTTGTATCATTCTCTTAGTCTCCATTGCATTGATTTCTGCTCTGATCTTTATAATTTCCTCTCTTGTACGAGCTTTGGATTTGTTATGCTCTTCTTTTTCTAGGACCTTGAGGTTCTGCATTAGGTTATTTAACTGAGTTCTCTCTGTTGTCCTAATATGGGCATTCACTGCTATGAATTTCCAGTGTAGAATTGCTTTCATTGTGTCCCACAGATTCCTGTATGTTGTACTGGCATTATCATTTATCTGCAGAAACTGTCTAATTTCTTAATTTCTTCTTTGACTCATTGGTTGTTCATGATGGTGTTACTCAATTTCCATGTGTTTGTGGGGGTTTTGTGGTTTCTTATGTTATTGATCTCCAATTTTATTGCACTATGGTCTGACAATATACACTGGATAACTTCAGTTCTTTTACATTTCCTTAGGTTTGCCCTATGAACT